GCAGAGCTTTTTAATACGAGGAGACGACACGAACCACACACACGCACTCTCACTGTTCTTGTACATACCTGTAAATAGTGACAGAATGGAGTGGGGTCAAAGTGTATTTTGAATATTCCCAATTTTCGAAGTCAGTAAAAAAAACAAAAACTGTATGAATGACTTTGTAAATTTTGTTCTATACGAATAAAAAGGCGAATTACTTGTGCTCATTCTGAAGTGCCAAAGAAGCCCCTGTCCCTGAGCCTCCCTGAGGGCAGGAGGGGTGGCCAGGTCCAGGGCCCCCAGCCGGGGCAGAGGGGAGGCGAGGACGGTCCCTCCAGCGGAGCCCCAGACGCTGCTGCGGCCCTGTCCACCGTCCCCTCCCGATTCCCCCCCTGGCCCCTTGCTCCTCTCTCAGTCTCTCAGGTGGATACAGGCTGCCCGCAGGCCCCTGTGCTGTAGGGGATCGCTGTTCCCGTCTGCCCGGGACTGAGGAGGCTCCCAGGACGCAAGGCAGTCCCTTTGGTCACCCACTGTGTGTCCCAGTGCCTGCGGGCCTAGGAGGGGCCCCCACCCTGAGGTGCGGTCTCTGAGGCCTGCGACGCCCACACGCTCTACTGCTGGCCTGTATCTTACTTAGTTTTCTTAATTAGAAGAACCAACGGTGACGGACCGGGTGGGGGCAGGCCCGTGGCTGCCTCGGAGAGGGCAGGGAGCGCTGGCTCCGCCCGGTGGGAGGCGCGGGAAGGGAAGTGCAAGGCTCGCTGTGCACCAGGCGTGCAGGCGCAGAGGCCAGCAGAGGGAGAATGTTCTCTTGGGCGTGGGACCCACGGTCCCAGGTGAGAACGGAACGTGTGGTCACAGACGCGAGGAGTAGAAGCTTTGTAGTTTTAGGCGAGAGGATGCTGTTGGAGTGGAGGGCGGGCCCCAGGGGAGCAGATGCGCTCTCAGAGGTGGGGGTGCGGGGGTAGATGAAATGGACCTCGTGCACTCAGGCAGGAAGGAGCCTCGGCTCTCAGAGCAGGCACATAACTCTGTGGTGGAAAGCCAGTGGCCCTCATCTCTCTGGGAAGCCTAGCTAAACACAGGAGGTCTCGGGTCTTCACCCTGACGGACAGTCTGCGAGCAGGGCCGGAGCCCAGCGTGCGTCCCTGTTCCATGCTTTGCCACTTCTCACTGCCTCCGGAAGCCTTCGCTCAGTGGTGCAGCTCCTGGCAGGGGCCCCTGGCTGAGAGCACCTTACAGTGCCCGGGATTCCCAGGCCCATCCCAGAGCTGGTGAGTCTGCTGGGAAGGTTAGGATGACCAGACAGTCTTCCTCCCTCCATTGCCCTTTCTNAGGCTGCCCGCAGGCCCCTGTGCTGTAGGGGATCGCTGTTCCCGTCTGCCCGGGACTGAGGAGGCTCCCAGGACGCAAGGCAGTCCCTTTGGTCACCCACTGTGTGTCCCAGTGCCTGCGGGCCTAGGAGGGGCCCCCACCCTGAGGTGCGGTCTCTGAGGCCTGCGACGCCCACACGCTCTACTGCTGGCCTGTATCTTACTTAGTTTTCTTAATTAGAAGAACCAACGGTGACGGACCGGGTGGGGGCAGGCCCGTGGCTGCCTCGGAGAGGGCAGGGAGCGCTGGCTCCGCCCGGTGGGAGGCGCGGGAAGGGAAGTGCAAGGCTCGCTGTGCACCAGGCGTGCAGGCGCAGAGGCCAGCAGAGGGAGAATATTCTCTTGGGCGTGGGACCCACGGTCCCAGGTGAGAACGGAACGTGTGGTCACAGACGCGAGGAGTAGAAGCTTTGTAGTTTTAGGCGAGAGGATGCTGTTGGAGTGGAGGGCGGGCCCCAGGGGAGCAGATGCGCTCTCAGAGGTGGGGGTGCGGGGGTAGATGAAATGGACCTCGTGCACTCAGGCAGGAAGGAGCCTCGGCTCTCAGAGCAGGCACATAACTCTGTGGTGGAAAGCCAGTGGCCCTCATCTCTCTGGGAAGCCTAGCTAAACACAGGAGGTCTCGGGTCTTCACCCTGACGGACAGTCTGCGAGCAGGGCCGGAGCCCAGCGTGCGTCCCTGTTCCATGCTTTGCCACTTCTCACTGCCTCCGGAAGCCTTCGCTCAGTGGTGCAGCTCCTGGCAGGGGCCCCTGGCTGAGAGCACCTTACAGTGCCCGGGATTCCCAGGCCCATCCCAGAGCTGGTGAGTCTGCTGGGAAGGTTAGGATGACCAGACAGTCTTCCTCCCTCCATTGCCCTTTCTGGGGCAATCAAACTATTTTTTTTTTTTTTAAATATATCTTTATTGATTTCAGAGAGAGGAAGGGAGAGGGAGAGAGAGAGATAGAAACACCAATGATGAGAGAGTCATTGATCCGCTGCAGCCCGCAACCCGGGCATGTGCCCTGACCGGGAATCGAACCCTGATCGCCTGGATGCTAGGTTGATGCTTAACCACTGAGCCACGCCCGGCCAGGCGCAATCAAACTATTGAACCAGAGAAAACAATGCCAGGAGCAGAGCAGTGTTAGTAATCGCAGCTGTATCACTTCAGCTCCTCTCCTGCAGACTAAGGTGACTCGCTCTCCCCGCCTGCCAGAGGGTAGGCACAGCGCACAGCTGGCACCGAGAGGCTGGGCTCCCTCCCCCAGCAGTGTCAGGGAGATGCGAGCTGGTCTGTGGCCATGGAGAAGTGCCTCCCTGTACCTTGCAGAGTTGCTCCAGGGGTGTGTTTATGAGGGTGATAGCTAGTCAGGGTTGATTTCCTCCTTGCAGTCCCGAGTGACATAACTGGCAGTAGGGATGGCGCATCACAGTCAGCTGCAAGCACCCTGGAGGGAGTGTTTATAATCACGTTCCTTACCTCTGGATGCGGAGCTAGGCCTGACACCAGTGCTCCCAGGTGGTCCATTCACATTTCTCCAACCAGAGTGTGTGGAGCTGGAGCTGGGTGGTGCTCAGGGGGTGCCTAGGTGAGCCGTGGTGGCCACCCTGAGGAGCACCAGGCCGCATTGTCTTCCCATCAGCACTTTGGGGGCTCTTCCCTGGATGGTCAATTTTTCACGTATATCTCTATTTTTTTAATCAAATTGTGGTCTCACTGCCTTATCTCACCCACGTCTGTTTTCCCCCGAGATGACCTGTCTTCTGAGGAATACCATGGATGTTTTCTTGGTCAGCTGTGCTTAGAATGGGCATTGGGAAGAGGAGAGAGTTGGCTCAGGTGGTGTGTGTGCATGTGAGAGAGAGGGAGGGAGGGAGAGCGAGAGGGGGCGCAGCTCTCATGGTGTGATTCTTCCCCACATTTATGTTATTTTTTAAGATATCTCACCTTTGGCATGAGGGAAAATGATTGGTTTTCAAGCCAGTTCTCTAGGAAAAGCATCTTCCCATCTCAGATGTCTGCCTCAGCTCAGAATGTATCACTTTTTCATGCTTTGCTCTTTGGATTTATAACTGTTTAGACTATTATACACTTTAGGTATATTTTGTGCCTTCAGACATTGCAAATAATAATCAGCATTTGGATTAAAGTTGTTTAATAATAAAACTCGACTTTGCTCCCTACCCTCTCCTTCTCTGGGTGAAGAAATACATCTGCATTGGTAGCACGTGGTGGCTGGGCCGGGTTCTGTCCCGTTGGTGTGGACCGTTGTGAGTGACACTTGGCTCACCAAGAGGGTCTCAGATATGCTCTGGGGTGGCAGCATGCCCTCCTGAGTCCCCCACGTTGACCAGGGCTATGTGAGGGACAGGCTGAGAAGCAATGCTAATTTTCAGTTAACCTAACAGCTTCCTTGAAAATGTGGGTTCTTAGAAAACGCCTAGGAGAGAGTTAGGCTGTACTATTACACAGAGAAGTGTTCCCATGGCCTGTGGAGTGAAGCCCCTCTGCGTGTCAGCTGACTTGGTTTCTTCTCTCATGTCTACACTCAGGCCTCAGATAAGTCGCCTGCCCGTGCTTGGGCCTCAGCCTTGGGGAGTGGCAGCCACTGTTTGTGGATGCACAGCTTGGCCCCTCCTGGTTTGGCTCAGAGGGTCTTCGGTTCCAGTCCACAGTGAGCTTCCATATTCCCGGCCGTCTCCATAGCCCAGGACCACCAGCCTGGCCATGGGCCCCCACATTCGTACGCTCCCGGGCCTTCCTTTTGCATCCCAAGGCTCCCCTGTGACCTCTCCACCTTCATAGGAGAAACAACTCCACGGCCAGCATTGGCTCAGACAGGACTCACCTGGGGAGTGTGGTTTTCATGATCAAGATCTCAACTCCCAGGAAGCACAAGTAGAATGCTGGGCTTTGTCCCTCTTCCCCTGCACAGATGAGAGGCATCTCCGATGCCGGGGGCAAGCTCTGAAGGCCGGGCTGCAGAAACCCGGCAGCATTCCCAGATCATCGGAGCAGACAGGTGGATCTGGACAGGGCTCCCAAAGGGCTGTGTTTTCTTAAGAAAACGCAGCCCTGCTCCTAAACTGACTCCTTCCCAACTTGCCCAGGTGAGACTAGCTACACACCTAATTGTATCTTTTTAAGCACAGAAAGCAGGCCAAGCACACAAAGGAGAAAAGACCACGGGCCCCAAGGCCACGATGCCCTGGGGGAGCACTGGTCTCTCTGGCCTGCGCCTCTCAGGCGATAGTCGCAGAGGTGGGCGAGGTCCATGGAGC